TCTGTTCACACTCTGGGCTGGCGAGCCCTGGACACTACAGAACAGAAAGGTGCTGTGCTCTCTGGGGCGGGGGATGCCTGTTCCCCCTGGGCAGAGCTGTCTCAGGCCTCACAGGCTTCCTCCCTCTCTCCAGCTGTACTACCACGGCGAACCCATCAGTGTCAACGTCCACGTCACCAACAACTCCACCAAGACTGTGAAGAAGGTGAAGATCTCCGGTGAGTGGGCCCCGACCCCCTGTGTTCAGTGCTGTATCCAGCCACTCCCGATTAATAAAAACCCACAGTGGGTGAACCTGCCCAGGCGTGAAACACACAAGCATGCTTATGTCAGGGTACATACGTGAAAACTGTTTGGCACTGCATTTGAAACTGAGAGCTGGAGGCACTACGCAAATGGTGGTGGGAGCGTGGAACAAGCTGCCCAGCTGTGCTGTTGAGGTCAGAACCCTGGCTTTCTTGAAGCAGCTGGATGTGACCATTGGAGAAATTTTTCCCCGATTCTGAGGAATGCGCCTCAGAAGTTAACTTTTTATTTCATGCGCATGGGAGCAAAAACACAGAGATGCTCTGTGTGTTTTTCTCAGAGTAAACAGGAACAGTCCTTAAATATTTTTATCTATCATGGCTCCCTGGGCTGACAAGATTGGCAGTTATCCAAAATCACGCACATCTTCCTACTTCCCTATTTGCTAAAGATATCTTCTTTTGATGCAATTGGTTAGTTAGGGTCCGTAGTACACGTTCCTATATAACAGTATAGAATTAGATAGTAGCCCTTGTGACCAGCATTCTTCCAATCCAGTTCAAACCAGTTCTGAATGTCCACCTTATAAAATATTGCAGCTTCAGCAGAAAAAGTGTGTACAAAGTTCACAGAGACCCTCTCAACAAGACTCTGGAATCAGTTCACTACTAAACGAGTTGGAGGGGATGAATGGCCTCCTCTTTTTTGTAACTTCTCATATTCTTATGTTCTTGAAAGGCTGAAGAACCTTCCACACAAAAATAGTCACAGTCAATGACCATTTCCCTTGATTTCATGAAAATACCTGATGATAGTCATCTGTAGTCATCAATATTTGGAGAAAAAATCAGTCAAGGACTTGCCTTGAAAAAGGATTATGTCTTCTTCCCCTGGCTTTGCATTTTGGTACATGAATTGCTGTGCTCATTCAGCCTTTTCTAGTAGTGTGTTCAGGCCTGGTGCCACTCTTCCTGCTAGAGGAACTGATCACTCAGTGCCCAGGCACATGCACAGCGCACTGTAATAGAAACCCGTCCTCACCCATCCCTGTGTTAGGAAACAGCCATGTGTGTCTGCAGTTCTTCTGCACAAAACTGTATTGTAGTGTCTGTGCTTGTGTGAGTTGTGGTGTGTGTGTTTTATGTAATGGCGAGGGGTATATGTGTTGTGTGCTGGGTGTGTAATGGTGTGCAGTATGAGTGTTGTGGACTGTAGCTCTGTATGTGTAACCCTGTGTTGTTCCTTTCTCCTCACAGTGCGGCAGTATGCTGATATCTGTCTGTTTAGCACTGCCCAGTATAAGTGTCCTGTGGCTCAGGTCGAGGCTGAGTGAGTACCCTTCTCTCCATCCCTCCCTTCCCTGCTGTCTCTGTATTCCTGCTCTCTTTCTCTCTGTACACCATCTCTTATTCTCCACCATCTCCTGCCTATCGCCCTCTGTTCCCTCATCAAATCCTCAAATCCATCCTGTCCTATCTATTTCCCCCTTTGAGATTTTTTTTTTGTTATTTGCAAGAAGAGAGGTTATTCATTAATTGAAGTAAAAAAACTACATATCGTACAGTCAGTTTCGCTACTAGCAAGCCAGACTGAGAGATTCTGCCATGCCCCCTGAAGATTAGCCCTCCAGCTTGCCCATGTCATTTTTATGACATCACAGCCCTTACCTCTGGCCCTCCCACTGACTCCAGCCCAGCCAATCAACTCCTCCCTTGCTCTTTATCCCCTCCCTCTGCCCCAGCGGGACTCTGCCTGGTCCTAGCCCCGCCCTGCTGTGATGTCACAGACAGTGTTCTCTCTCAGTGCTGCAGGTTACTGATGTGGTGCTCTTCTCCAGCGACACCTATAGCAAGTCTGTGAGCTTGGTGCTCTCCCGGTAAGTACCGGCATCCCACATACTGTGTGCTGAGTTCACTACTCACTTGCTGATTGTAGGCATCCGTTCTATCTGTACATCTGCAGACCATTCTCTGATCCCCCCGTATACCGTCTTTTCTTTTCCTGTGCCAAATCTCCGAGCTCACTGCTTACTTGTTAAGTGGAGGCATTCCAGTGCTATCCACTGTAACCCCAAATACAAGACCCAGAGACCCCCACACCCATTTCACTACGTCATCCCCTCTATGCCCCAGCCTCCTGAGTTATGTGTCATTCAGCTGCTGAACTTGAGGAGCTGCAGGACTCAGCACTCTTTCCTCCTACAGCAGATCTCCCTCTCTTTAGAGCAGGTATACCCATCTCAAGTGTAAAATTCACCCCCAAAAAACTGCAGTAACCTTTAAGAGAAGGGCGGCTGATTTCTCTCAAGAATTCAGAATGGGCATTTTGTCTTTGGGCTGAACTCATTTCAGTCTTTTCTGGCCAGTGTTTGGGCGGTGGCTCCCGTTCCCGTCTTCACAGCACTTGCAGATGGTTGTCTGTGATGGTGGTGCTGTTGAAGGTGAAGTTCCTTACACTCCCTGCAGTATGTCCCCCAGCACGCCCAGGTCTGGCCAGCTCACCTTCATCATGCGGGCTCCTGTTCCCAGAGGGGCTTGTGCTTCCATATGTTCAGGGAGGCACTCGTTTTAAAGCGTCAAGGGCTGCAGGAGTCAGTCAGCAGGTGTCTGAGCCCAGGTGCTGGGGGGGTGGATTTCACAGCTCTGTCTCTCCCTGTCTCCACAGTGACCAGGTGTCACCCAGCTCAACGTTCTGCAAGGTATACACCCTGACGCCCACGCTCAACAACAACCGAGAGAAGCGTGGCCTGGCGCTGGACGGCAAGCTGAAGCATGAGGACACCAACCTGGCCTCCAGCACCATGTGGGTCACAGGCCGTTTGACAGGGAGCAGGGCAGGGTCTGGGGAGGGATGGGAGCTGTAGGCGGTGCTGGAGTGAGGAGAATGGATTCTGGGAAATGACGGGGGCTGTAGGTAGTACTGGAGTGAGAAGAATGGAGTCTGGGGAATGATGGGGGCTGTAGGTAGTGCTGGAGTGAGAACGACTGGGCATAGGGAATTATGGGAGCTGTAGGCAGTGCTGAGGAGGCCCTCTGTAATTTCCTCTTTCTGTTATTTCAGAGTGAAAGAGCCTGCTAACAAGGAAGTGCTGGGTATCCTGGTGTCCTACCGGGTGAAGGTCAAGCTGGTGGTGTCACGTGGAGGGTAAGGTTCCTCTGAGGAGGTCATAGCTGTGCTCGTTCCTGGAGAGTTCTGGCTTTTGTCTTGCCCGAGCTAACAGGGGCAGGTGACCTCTTGTAGTGGTTACATCTTGAAGTTTAGAACTACCTGAGTTCAGGAATGTATACGTTAATCACCATCCTTAACTGGCTGGGTCCATTGATATAGCGCTTGAGGTCTGAGCTTTAGTGGTTGTGAGAGTGTAGCCTGCCTGCCTCAGGCTGGCTGAGAACTTCGCCAGACCTCCCTGCCTCAGAATGACTAGACTGACTGGCACAGCCTATCCTGTCACCACTCTTCTCTTGGCACCGTGTCTGTGTCCTTGATTCAGTGCCTTTTAATTTGTTCTCTGTTTCAATTCTGCCCTCTTGGTCATCTGTCTGTCTGACCCAGGTTTCTCAGTGGGATGTTCGTGAGGTAAAGTGAGCCACTCTCTTTGTGGAGTACATCTTTTTCATTAGTTAGGTTGTGTTTTTTGTAGTGTGTGAAGTTGAGATGAGTGCTGCAATACAGATCCTGGAATAAAAATGGATACAAGAAGAGATCCCAACTTTGGACCCCATTGTAATTGGAGCCCACTGTGGGGCTCCTGGGTTAATTATAGTACCCCATTGTAATTGAAGAGGACAGGGGAGCTCCTGTGTTACCAAAGGGGACCTTGGGGTCCCAGTATTAATTGTAAGGTCCCAGTGGTATTGAAGGGGACTATGTGGCTCATGTGTTAATTGTAGGGCCCCGGTGGTATCAACTGGGACTGTGGGACCCCGGTGCTAAATGGGGGGCCTTGGTGGAATCGACAGGGACTGTGGGCACACGGGACTGTGATCACAGGGCTACATTTGGCAGCTGCAGTACCGCAGGTCCTGACACCTCTCTGTGTGTGTTCCTCTATCTCAGAGACGTATCAGTGGAGCTGCCCTTTGTCCTAATGCACCCCAAGCCTTCTGATCAGCCTTCCTCCCGGCCGCAATCAGGTAAGACTCACCTTTTACCTTTGTACCTTGATGGTGCTCCTTACATCTGGAATGAATTTGGGGATGGTCCTCCAACACCTTGTGGAATGGGGTTGGGGCTCTGGGATTGGACAGCTTGGAAGAAGTTTATTTCCAGGTTTTGAATTTTTCTGTGCAAGCAGGGATGAAATCTTCACCACCAATGACCCTTGTCTTTCTTTCTTGTGTCTAAGCAGGGAAGATCTCAGTTCTTTTTGTTTTCATCCTCGCCTATTACCGCTGATATTTATTGGCTACCAAAGCACTTAGTCTATGCCATTATTGTGCTAATTTTAGACTCAAACTCTCAAGTTTCCTAAAAATCTACAAACTGTCATCATATAAAGAAAGGCTAATATATGGTTCCCTATTAGAACCTGACAGCGTAAAACACTTTTTTACATGAAAGGGCACTGTATAAATATTCCCCGATTGTTTTTTTCTTTTCCACAGCTATTCCAGAAACCGATGCTCCAGTGGACACCAACCTGATAGAGTTTGAGACAAAGTGAGAATCGCTGTCCTGCCTGTCTGCTCCCCGCTGTCCTGTGTCTGCTCCCAGCTGTCCTGCCTGTCTACGCCCCGCCGTGTGATCTTCTGTCCTGCCTGTCTGCTCCCCACTGTCCTGTCTGTCTGCTCCCCGCCGTGTGATCCGCTGTCCTGTCTGTCTGCTCCTCGCCATGTGATCTGCTGTCCTGCCTGTCTGCTCCCTGCTGTCCTGTCTGTCCGCTCCCCGCTGTGTGATCCGCTGTCCTGTCTGTCTGCTCCCCGCCGTGTGATCCGCTGTCCTGTCTGTCTGCTCCCCGCCGTGTGATCCGCTGTCCTGTCTGTCTGCTCCTCGCCTTGTGATCCACTGTCCTGTCTGTCTGCTCCCCGCCATGTGATC